CACAACACAGCACCCACAGCCCTTCTCCATCCGATGGCACGTGCCACCAGCACCGCATCCTTCTTAACTCTGGACACCGGTTTATAGACTGGCACAAATCACGCAAGCCACGGTAGCCATCTCCCCCGAGCCCTTAGCGTGAACACTGCCATTGAGGTATGGGAAACTGCCTTCCAGACTCTTTTCTCTCCCCATCATTTCATTACGGCCATCAGAGCAGTGCTCGCTGCAAAACAGTAATGGACTCGGACAAACAGCCCTTTTAAATTTATACAGACATTTATTCCTAGGGATAATGCTGCTGCTGCAGCCACCGAGAGCACACTGGTGTGAACTCACAGCAGTGCCGGAGGTCGGCGAGCCCTTGCTGCATCCCTACCCTCTGCATGAGCATCACCCCATGGCTTTTCTGATGCCCGGCTGGTCCATGGAGCTGGAGCCAGCCTCACACTCCCCTGTCAGGCTCTGCTAAACCAGAGTTGGGGATTTTGGGGCATTTGCTTCTCTTCAGGCTGGAAAAGGGAGGTGAGTTGACAGCCTTCCCTGTACGCCCAGGCCTGGGAAAGCACGCCAGGCTGGGAAAATCCCAGCACTTTGCCTTCATCTTCTTCCTGCTTTCTTTTTGACTCTGCTTTGCACCTTTGCGCTTGGTTTGGGTTTTTGGTTTTGGTTTTTTTGGTTTTTTGTTGTTGTTGGTTTTTTTTCTTCCTAATCTGCTGTTTCCTGCCCGAGATAAAGCCATTCCTCCCTGCAGCCTTCCCATGGCTTTTGGTACCTGACCTTCCCAATCTCCGTGCCAACCACCGCACTCTCCTCCACACTCATAGATGTTATCTACCCCCCTCTCACCTCTTCCAAATATGGCATTCCCGCTGCCTCAGAGCACTTCCCAGCCCTCCTGGAGGGTTTTACACAGCTCCTGTTCCACCATGGAAGCCCCCCAAGCCTTATCTCCACTACCCACCACCATCAGCCTTGCCAGTGCCACCATCCTCATCCTGCAATCTCTGCAACATCTTGCTGTGCCCCAATCCAGCATCCCTGCTCCCTGCACTCTCCAGACAGCCTTCTCCAAGGAGCAGGACCCACAATTAAACCAGCAGAGAGGAGCCAACGGGGCAGAAAGAGAGCGGCGGGCGATGCAGGGGGAGGGATGGAGCCAGCTGGGCAGCCAAGCGACACGCAGCAGCCGGGCACAAAGCAGCAGTGTTTTGCCAGTGGGGCAACAGGTATTTTGAGAGGGATGAAGTTTGGCCGGGGAATTAAGCTGCTGCACGCCACCTCTACAGCTCATGCAGGATTTTCTGCTGCTTCGGCAGATCCTTGACACCAGTTTCTGTCTAAGAAATACACCAGGAACCAGAACAGGGAACAAGAACCTAAGAAATACACCAGGAACGCATTTGGGAGACAGACACCTACCTGGGGTGCCAGAGGGATCCCTCTTGCTCGGCCCTGGCTTTCCGGGATCTCCGTGGGAGTGTGGCTGCGGGCAGCACCATACAGCACCGCGGCGCTGAGCCACACTGAGCATCGCCAACACTCAGCTGTCCTCAGGGCACCGACGGCCAAACATCCCTCCTTCCCCAGGCACTTCCTTCCCTTCTCCAGGATTTTTCCACCCGTGTAATTACCCACAGATAAAATCAAAGGCAGCTCACATACTTCCGAGTCATTATAGTTAAGGGCTGGGCTCGCCAGCCCCACACCCACACGTTCCTCATGGCCACCTGGGAGGTTTTCCCTTTCTGGCTGTCACACCAAGACGTCCAGAGCCTCAGATGGCTGTGGAATGCTTGGCTGTGTTGTAGAGGGATGAACCACTGCTGGATCCCACCCAGCAGCTGCTGAGGTCTGTGCCAGAGGAGCTTTAAGGAGTCTGAAATCCCACCAGCCCATCAGCTGGAAGCCAGGACCACAGCTCCTGGTGCAGTTTCGTCTCACCCAGGCTCCACCGTGCAAAGCCCAAGGCACCTCTTGCACGGGAGGTGCTGGCACAACCACTGCTTCGTGTTTTAAGTCAATACGGGGAAGACACACACTGGGGTTGTGCCCGATATACACACACACCCACAGAGAGCTGGCTCAGAGGGAAATAAACCACCCAGGCAAAGCTGTCAGCAATAAAGTCATTAAAACCCTCCCCCAGCGGCTACAGGTCACAGTGCACACAGAGGCCACACTTGGTGTAGCTGGAGCGGGGTCAGCAGCTTTCCTCCCCTACCAGCCACTAGCCCTGAGCTACCAAAGCTCACAGCCCCCCCCAAAACGCCCACCTGATGGGGTTTCCTCCCAAACCAAGGATAAGGTGGGTTTTCCCATGCCCCTCAAGACAACACAGGAATTAATCATCGCAGCTGGCACAAGATAGGAACTTCCTAAAACTAATTGTGCCCGTCATGGGCCTTATCCCAAAACCCTGGCACGGGAGGGTGTGCCAACTGACCACACACAGGGGGCAAACCCCCGCCCAGCTGCCACGTCCCACTGGCTTTCCCGGTGGGATTTCTTTCCGAAGCCACACTCGGGAGACGTTCGCAGATGTGTCGGCACTCCTTTAAAACTCCAAACCCCTCTTTTCTTTGGCAGAATTACTGCCACGGGAAGAGCTGAAACCCCCCACTGGGTGGTGTTCAGTTCACAAACTGCAACTCAAAACGGCACAGGCAGGCCCGGCGCAGCTTTCCTTCTCTTTGCCTTTGTTTGCTTTCCAAACAAGACTCAACGCACGCATCGTCCCTTGCCCCTTCCTGGGGACTGACGTCTTCGAGCGAAGGGCTCTGTGCTACGTGACGGCCCTGCCATGCTGCCACCCGTGGGAACCGGGGGGGGGGGGGGGGTCATCTCCTACCCTTCCCCGCCCGCAACTTTCTCTCAAAAAGCTGGTCCTTCCCAAAAGGTGGGCTGCTCTTCTCCCTACTCTCAGGAAGGCCACCCCAATACCTGCAGCTGAGGTGTCCCAAGCCCACTGTGTCACCAATGGGTGACAGCAGGGACGGACACCCCAAAACCACACACCCCAACTCCTCCCTACACCCTGTTTCAGGTATGTTTTCCCCAAAACCACCCCGGGGGGGTGAGGGGGGTGTCTCCCCTTCCCGAGCTCCGGTTGGGGATCCCTCTCTCCTCCTTGGGACCCCTCGGGGTGTCCCCCCCTCAACGACAGGCAGGTCCCAGCCCCAACCACTGCTGGGCGTGAGCACGGCAGGACTCCACCGAACCGGGTCCTGTCCCGGGACCGTCCCCCTCTCCCTGTCCCCGCGGGACGGAGCCCGGTGCTGCCTCCGACCCCCTCCCGGTCCCCCACTCCTGCCCTGCTCCGTTCCCATCCCGGGGCGAGGGGGTCCCGCCGCCCCCAGCCCGACCCCACGTACCTCCCGGTGGCGGCGGCGGCGGGTCCCTCCCGGCCGGTCCCGGTCCTCCCTGCCCTGCCCTCCCGGGGCGGTGCTTCCGGGGCCCGGCCCCCGGAGCAGCGCTCC